TCCTCGTTCTCCTGGGTGTTAAAGACAGAAACTGGGCATAGCCCTCATCAGCTCTTTTTCTCTTACACCCAACATTCAATGTCAACAAGTTATGTTGACTTTACCTTCAAAAGATGCCCAGAATGTCACTTCATCATCTTATCATCTCTGCTGCTATCACCTGGACCAGCCGCCATCGTATCTTGCCAAACTGGTCTCTCTCTCTCTGCCCCATCCCTTGTTCTCTTATCCCCTATTTCAACAGAGCAGACAGACGATTATGCTGAAACATTGAGTGAGTCCGACAGGTCACCCTTTGGCTCAAACTCTTCGATGGCTTCCCTCTTAAGTGAGGTGAAAGCCAGTTCTTACAATGGCCTGCAAGGCCTGGCATGATTTGGTGCTCATCACCTCCTTAATCTCGTCTCTACACTTCTTCCACTCAGTTAGTTACCCCAGTATCCATTTCAGACAGGCTCCCACCTTGGGGCCTTCGCACTTGCAGTTCCCCGTGTCTGGAACGTTTGTTGTACAGATCTCTGCGTGGCTCACTTCTTCACTTTCTGTAGGTATTTCTTCAAATTCTACCTTCCCAATGAGGCTTGCTTCAACCTCCTGTTTACAGCTTTACTCCCATCCCTAGAAGTGGTCCTCCCCTAGTCCCTTCCTACTTTTTTCTATAGAACACATCTCTATTAATACTCGATAATAGTGTGACTAACCATCTTGACTCGCCCGTGACTGTCCCAGATTTAACACTTGAAGTCACATACCTTAGAAAACCCCCTGGTCTCAGACAAGTTGAGTCACTTCACTGATACATTTACACACATGTTTTACTTATTTATTGTGACTGTATGAATGATATATAGTGCCATGAGGGTAGGGGTTTGGTGCTGATTTGATCACTGTATTCCCAGAGCCTGGAACGATTCCTGGTATCCGTCATAGTAAGTTCTCAATCAATATGTATCTCGTGAGTGAATGGAGAACGAATAATGACTATTATAACTTGGGATCACCAGTGCTTAGTATATAATAAATTATATAAATTATTATTGACTTACTCAATAAACGTAAGTCAAAAGGAGAAATGAATGCATCACTCGTAAATTTATACATGATTAAGACAAATATGCAGGTAAAATCCTGATTAGTATGTTAATTGCTAACAGATATGCAAATACAACTCTAACTAGCATGATAATTATTAATTCTCCTTTATGAATGCCACTGAAATTCTTAATCTTTTTCAATTTATGACACAAACTAATGCATGCACATACTGTGGACACATACTGCCATGCATAGGTATCTGTAAGCCCTCGTCGATTTCGGACATCACTGCCTGGGTAGCTACCTGGGGGAGCTGTGCGTACTTCACCTACCGAGGACCAGGGAGCTCTCACCTCAGAGCCCCAGCTTGTTCCAGCAGCTCCCGACTAGCACTCACGCCTGACCTCCTCCCTTGAACTTCTGTAGCCCCCACTCTGGAACTGAGCTGGTTGGAAAAGTTGGACTGTAATTTCTACAGTTGTAATGACTACAGACCTCAAACTTTTCAAAAGAAAAGGAAATCTGGCAAACTATTCAAATAGAAATAATAAAGCTTTCAGAGGGCCAATGGGGTCTTTTCAAGAGGTACGGGTAGTTCTGGAAGGGACTTGAAGAGCAGACAAGGAAAGGAGATGGGGACAAACATGTCCTATTCCTGCAGGGAGCTCAGCCTTTAACAACAAAATTGAGCAGCTCTGAGGCAATTAAGGAGAACACAAAGCCCCCAACAAGTGAAAAGCCGGAGAGGACAGGACAAGAGAAGAACTGGGCGAGCTGGGGGAAGGGCGAGGGGCTGTGTCCCTGTCTCAGCGTGAATCAGCACCTGACTTGGTCAGAGTCGCTAAGGCCAGTTTCCTAATTAAGTCAGGCAGGGTGGTCGGATGTCACCCCAATTGTAGCAAGGATCCCACTTTTGGAATAGCATTGGAGCACCCAGGAAATTTATCTAGTGACCTAAGTATCTAGCATATAAAAACAATTTTTTAAAAAGAATTACTTATTTAACTTTATTTATTCATTCATTTATTTTCATTTGACCAGAGAGGTGGGATAGTGAGAAAGCAAGCCACCAGGTCAGGATTCGAATCGTGGTCACCCATGTGGGAGTGTCTAGCACCTTAACCACCATGCCACCTGCTAGTACCCGTAAAAGCAATTTCCATCCTGGTACCCTGGACCTTTCTCAGATCCACCCTTCTTCACTCCAATTTGAGTCTTATACTACTCCCACATTAGCTAGACTCAGGAGTGGATGAAACTTGTCTGACCATGATCAGATGTTTCTGCTCATCCTAGGGAAAGGTACTTCCTTTCTGGAAGCTTTTTCCTCCTCCCCCTCTCTAGAATTAATACCAGAAAGTTCTGGGAAGCTTTGAACACAACTGGCACCTGGGTCTCAACCCCAGAGATTTTGATCCAAAAGTCGGGGTGTGGCCTAGGCACTGGGGTTTTTAAAAGCTTGCTGATGTGGGGCCAGTAGGTGGCATACTGGTTAAGATGCTGGACTCTGAAATGGCCGACCATGGTTTCAGTCCCGCCCCTAATGGCTTGAAACTCACACCGGGTGCGTGTGCATGCATGCCAAAAATCCTGAGAGGAGAATGGAGGAGAGAGGATTGTCGTGTGGCCATCCCCGCTGCTGAGATTATTTCTCACTTTCTGTCTCTGTCTCTCCAGCAGGCACACACACCCTATAGCAAAAATCTCTCTTCTTAAAAAACAAAACAAAAACAAAACTTAGTGGTGGTTCTCCTGTGCAGTCAGGGGAGAGCCGTTGCTCCTAAGCCTAAGCTGCAGGTAGATACCCTTTTGGATAAATATCCTGAGGGTCCCTTCTGTCTCCTGAGGGTGGTAGGGGACAGGGAAGACAGTCGAGGGTGAAGGGGGCTAGAAGGTAGCTTGCTATGCCGGGGATGACAAGGCAGGAAAGAATGTCACAATCCCCCAAACCCCAAATGTCATCAGTTTGTTTTGAGACTATAACCAGTTTTGAAAGTGACTAATGCACTGATTTTTAAAATAAGAATGTATCAAATGGATGTAAAATTGGCAAGCAGAGCTCAGTAGACCAGGAGAAGGATAATCAAAGGGTAACCCTGATCCAGTTGTTAGAGAAGTGATTCTTCATTTAGAGAACTTGTTAAACCACAGACCATGGTAGACTGTGGTATTTAGTAGGTCAGGAAGGGGCCAAGGGTGAGCATTTCTAACAAGCTCCTGGGTTTTGGATGCTGCTGATAGAGGGACCACTTCAGAGCCACTAGAGTACTTCACAGTAAATCTAATGAATGGCCCTTCCACCTGGAGCCACTTAGGTTTAGCTTATAAATGTGGTCTTCGTAGCCACTCTCAAACGTACTACAACAGCAAACTGAACGAAACAGGAAAAAAAAACCCCAGCGAAAACTAAGGTCTTAGATGGATCTAAAGTAACGTTATTGAATAGTATGAGATATTTGGGAAAAAAATAACATTTTTCTCCCCTTCTCCCTTCTGTTTCAGTATTTGCTTGAAAGAATTGGGTTTTGACTTTGTGAAATGATGGGGATCATCTTGGGCGGAGTAAATAACGTAAAGCCAGCAGGTAGTGCGGCAGGTAGAGTGCTGGATTCCACGTGGCCAACTCGTGGTCCAAGTCCCAGACCCAGAGGCTTGAAGATCAAGCTGGCTGCACGTGTGTGCATGCCCAAAAAGCCTGAGAGAAGAATGGAAAGGAAAGGATTGCGGTGTGCCCAGCACCCTGCGGAATGATGTCTCACTTTTCCTCTCTCTTTCTCTGTCCCTCTCCAGTAAGTGTACTCACTCTGTAGCAAAACCTAAAAACAAATAAACAACAAAATGATTAAAGTTCCAGAAATGGTTCACTTACTTTTTAAAAATTTAACTTTATTTATTTATTTATTTTATTTTATTTGACCAGAGAGGGACAGATTGAGAGAGAGAGAGAGAGAGAGAGAGAGAGAAAGAAGAAAGTGAGAAAGCAAGTCCCCAGGTCTGGGACTCAAACTGTGGTCAGCCATGTGGAAGTCCAGCGCCCCTAACCACCACGCCATCTGCCAGCCCACAGTTCACTTACTTTTGAACAATAGTCTATGCATCTGAATGATTCATCTAATTCTAACCAGTCAAAACTTATTCATGAGACAGCTGGTCGTGGCAGACAGCTTTGCTAAAAGTAAAGATAACTGAAAGTCTAGTGAAACACGGCCTTAGCAATTCCCCATTTTCTAAGAGCAATAAACAAGAGACTCGTATTTCACAAAGCTCTTTCTTCATAGTGGTTGTGTATCTGGTTAACCCAAGAGCGAATTCAGCCTACTGAAGTTATCCAGAAGCTAGAATGATGCAGAGGGGGATGACGTCATTTCTTTGACAGGGCAATCACGCTCCCGAGGACGCGAACTCGCTCTGCTGGGACACAGGCAGGACGTCATGATAGGGCAGCAGCTTATGACGACTCTTGCTGCCATCTGCCTCTCGGAGAGGTTCTCAGAAGCCTGTCATCAGAGACACACTAGCAAATCGGCAACCAGATACCTTTGTCTCGGGTTTTGTTTTTGTTATGGGTTTTTGTTGTTGTTCTGTTTTGTTTAATGCTTGCTTGTAGAGTTAGGACCTAAATCTTAGGAAAACGGAGAAGATAATGCCTCTCCCTAAAGTACATTTTGTTAAATCATCTGGATTTTCAGTTTCCACTTTCACTACTCAGGCAGATTTAGAATCATTAACCAAGCATCCAGGCTCTTTATCTATGTGCCCCTGGCTTCAACTCAAACAAAACCCAATCACTCTGTCCGCCCACAGTATTCGATTCTTATCTGGGAACTGCTCACCTTCATTTCACTGGTAAACACACAGCCTTAGAAACAAAGTTATCACAATAAGGATTTGGTTTCTGTGTTTTCACGCAGGAAAAGCCCCAGCCTCGGCTGGAGAAGTCTGTTTCCAGTTACGCGCAGACTCACTTGCTAATGATGAGGGTCTCCTCCCCGCTGATCCAGACTCTCATGAACTCGCCGTACATCTTGTTGTAGTAGTTGCAGGCACTGCCGATGCCCATCCACAGGAACCTGCCGTGTGAAATGAGGGGTCCGATTCCCATGCAATAGCCGGGACCTAGGGAAGTCATAGGTCACATTCAGCATCTTAGCAACGCCAAACACAGCCGTGCTTTGTGTTCCTACAGCTTAGGAAATTATTTTATTTAACTTCTTTTTCTCTAATTTAATTTGACTGGAGAGAGACCGAGTGAGAAAGAGGGGGAGAAAGAGAGAGAAGGAAAGGAAGAAAGCAAGCCATCAGGTCCAGGACTCGAACCGCGGTCAGTCATGTGGGAGTCCAGTGCCCTTAAGCACCACGCCACCTGCTGGCCGTCTGTTCTTTTACAGCAAAATGTGTGTTACATCTTCTGATGTCTGTGAATCACTGATAAAGGGGTTTAAGTGAGACAAGCCCAGCATGAGGCTCTTCGTTCCTCCGGGAGCGAAACGTAGCTTGGTATCCTCACATTCATTCCATCTGGTCTCAGCCATTTCAGGCTGAAGTAACCGGGATACATGTGCTAACTTCTTCTCACATGACATGGTGTCAGTGAGCTTCAAATACAGCCCAGCTGACTCATCTGACAGCAAGCATGGAAGCCATGACAAATGGCACGCTAACAGACCTGGCTCGCCACCTGGTTTTGTCTGAGAACTTGTGGTTTGAGTGCCTAGGTTGACGGAATGAGTGGGTTCGAACTGGGTTGTAGTTTGGGAGTCATTTTTTTAACCAAGAGAAACAAGGTCTGCAAAGATAATGTCCAACCTAGAAACACCCATTTCTCCTTTCCCAGTTTAAAAAAAAGAATCTTAAGCTAAATCTCATTAAGCAAAATACCCTTAAGAAATGAAGAATTAGGCAACAAGTGTGCTCAGTATCCTGAGGAGCGAGTTTGAATCCTGTCATCTGGTTTCAATGGGGAGCAGTGGTTGAAGATGACGGCAGAATTGGAAAGAACAAGACCCCAGCGGATAGCTGGGAAGCGGACACTGCTTACGTAGAGCAGAGAACAAACCTGGTAGCTTGATTTTACTGGTGGTAGGAGAGCGTTGGATACAACATTTTTGGAATGGTTTTAGGAATTACATGTAAAGTCATGGTTTTTCTAAATCTTTCTCCTTTACTCCCATTCTGTCACTGAAATAAGCATGAAGCCAAAACACAGCATTCTCATTCTATACACAACAACTGTGGAAAAATCTCGATAACTGAACTTTTTACATGGATCATCTGGATTATATATTTAGTTCCAAGTGCATCAAACAATGTTTAGTCTTTCATTTTGCAATAGCTGAGTCAGCATCAACAAGACTGTCAGCTTTTTTCCCCCATTAAAGAGAATATACCTGCTAAGGCCAATAGAACCAAAACATATTTCGTGTTATTAACATTATGATTACTTTATCATGCTATTATGTGATAGACAATTGACTTTATGTTAGAATAACTTTACTGAATTCTTAAAAAGATTTAAACAAGCAGACTTGACTCAATATATGTTTCCTTAAAAGATTATTCAATACGTAAACCTTTAGTCATCTAAAATATGCATAAAATTTTAATCATTTAAAATATACAAAATATTTTATTGGATATTTATCACTTGGCACATTGTAGATGCTCAAGAAATATTTCCTGAATGAATTTTTAAAATTAACCAGACATGGGGACCATCAGGTGGCATGGTGGTTAAAACCGTTGGACTCCCACGTGGCTGACCACAGTTCAAGTCCTGGACCTGGTGGCTGGCTTTCTCACTTTCTCCCTATCTTTCTCTCATGAGTGCATGTGCCCTATAGGGAATTTAATAATAAATAAATAAATAAATTTAAATAAATAATTCTTTAATTAAAAAATAATAAATAACCCAGGCATTCTTATACTATATGAAATTTTAAATGCCATTCTTCTTTTTTTTGGGAGAGGTTTTTGTTATAGGGCACGTGCGCTCCCCAGAAAGACAGAGAGAGACAGAGGATAGAAAGTGAGAAATCACCCCCCGGGGGGATGGCCATGCTGCAATCCCTCCTCCTCCATTCTCCTCTCAGGATCTTGGGCACGCACACACACACACCCAGCATGAGTTTAAGCCACCGGGTCTGGGATTTGAACCGTGGTTGACTACATGGGAGTTCAGCGACATAGCCATTACGCTAACTGCTGGTCCCTAAGTGCCATTCTTATTTAGAGTATTTTAGGTTACATTCACATTTTGATAAGAAATGGCAAAGTATCATAGAATATACATTTAGTTCACATATCAAATATTTGTTTTGGAAAGTTATTTGCGTATAGACTTATTCAGAAAATATTTACTTACTTGATTTGCCAGGCCCATGAGAAACAAAGACACACAAAGGCACATGCTGCACTTTTCACCTTTTACCTAAAATCTGGTGCCATGTAAAAAATCGTAGTATTTGGGAGCCCCATTCAATTTAACGAGACAGTTCTGGAGGGGTGTATCTTTATGTACTGGTGAACTTCGTGCTTAAGTCAAGAACCCGAGTGCTCTAACCAGAATCTGAGGTTTTGAGGATCAACTGTATGCCAGCTTAATTCATCTAACACATCCTTGCTCAGGCCCTACTAGTATAGACACCAGCTCCAAGCCAGGGACTAGAATAACCATGAGTACAATGGTCCTCTCATCTGAGTCCCAAGGGCTGGAGAGGGAGTTCAGGGAACAGAATTACAAAATCAAGTAATTATATAACACAGTGTCATCTTTCTATGTACATATATATCTTATTCTCTCCCCCTCCCCTCATTCCCTGGCTGGAGAAAGTAGAAATTTCAGAAAAATATTAGGGAAATTGTCTGGCTACACCCTCTTAAGACTGCTCTCTGCTTCTCAGATTTGGGAATGTTTATCTAGGCACACCGTGCTTACAGGAGCCTCTTTCACACCCTAAGAGCAGCAGTAAATTCTCGTCTGCATTTTTGCGCAGAGACAGGCTCCTTGAAGCCAACAGCTGGGACCTCTCACCAGCTGCCCCAATCAAGAAGCCATTGCATTCCATGTCCAGGTATGCACCCAGGCAACGGCGGCTCGCCCGTGATCACAGCAGCGCGGCTGACAATAGCCCCAACTGGAGACACCCACGTGTCCATCAACAGGAGCGCTGGTAATGAAACCATGAACTGCTCGTGTGGCCCAGTACCGGGGCCAGTGAAAATGAACGGCAGCTGCACGCCACAACACGGGCGGACCTCACGCACAATCGTGGGCAAAGGCAGCACCATACAATGAGCACTGTCTGATCTGATTACCATGTTTCAAGTCAGGTAAAACTAAACTGTACGTCTGGGGATGTACGGTTAGAGAGGAAACCTATACATAAGCAAGGAAGTGATGATCAGAAAACCCAGGGAAGCATCGATGGCACAAAGAAATGGGGCATTCTCTGTTGAAGATATTTCATAGTTTTATCAACTGGACTAGGGAGAAATGTTCCCCTGTTGAAATATCCATTTTGTAAGCCAAATAATGTGACTGAATGTATAAAAGAAAACAAAATAAAAAAGAAAGTGGTTGAACATGGAAGATTTACTGCTGAGTGAAGCAAGTCAGGCCATGAGAGAAAGATATTGTATGTATCCACTTAATATATACCAACTATCCACACTGTATGGTAGAGATTGAAATATTAAAGGACTCAAAAACAGTGAAAATAGTTATGAATGCTGAAGACAGCGTGGAATGGGGCGGGTAGAGGGGAGAAGGGAAGAGTATTAGGGAGAAAAAATAGAAAGGCATGACAGTTGGGGGACACGGGGGGGGGTTATTCCCAGTTCATGATAACATGTATAGTATTCTCGACTGGACTGGTCTGAGAAGTAGTTCAAGTTCGGTAAATTCTCTTTACAAGCTGAATGATGTATAGCAATAATTTTTTTTTAATGAGAATAATAAAAATCAAATTAAAAACAAATATAAAAAAAAGAAAAAGAAGATCCGAGAATGTGCTTCTTCTGGGGAGAGTGACTGAAAGGCCTCTGAACTGGAATGCTGTGAATCCTGCTCCTTGTGTTGACCACAATGGGAAATTTGTCACCCCACTGTGCGCCTTTGGACACGAGATCTTCCCAACAGGAAGAAGAAGGCATTGCTGTGTCCTTTCTCCAGTGTTCTGTTCCGGGATGCGGTGCCCAGGGCAGAGGGAAGCAGCCGGAGGGAGAGGACGTGCGTAGGAGGTTGGGGACGGCTGTGTGGAAGAGGGAGCAGCCAAGTGCCAGGTAACGGTGAGTCCTGGACAGCTTCTCTGACCTGAAGCTTATGATCCACTCTCCTCTTCTGCCTCCCCCAGACTTGTACAGCTTCCTGCCAGCCCTGCCCTGGCTAGACATCTGCCTAGGTACGCCCCGGCCGTCCTTGCTGCTTCCACTTCGTCTCCCAGGCCGGAAACCACATCTCTCATCTTCGCGCACCCTCTTCCCCTAAACCCCGGAGGCAGCAGGGCTTCTCCGTATATACCACTTGGCGAGTCTTAGACCGGAGACCCAGTTTCGTCGCTCGCTGTGTGACACCTAACCTCTGTGAGTCTCAGTTTCTTCATCTACAAAATGGACATAAACACACCAATCTTGTCAAGGAAAATGGACGTGAAATTACTTTGTAAATCTTAACTTCCTTAAGGCCTTTTAAATTAGGATGCCTTCTTAACTCCTTGTGGTTTTCCCTGACCCTTAGCTTCTTCCAAACCTGAAAAACCAAGGACCCAGAGAGCCAGGGATTCAAGGGCACCAGCAGAAGGGGCTGAGGGCCCTTGATCAGCAAGAATCACCCCGACACTGCCAGTGTCCCCGCCCCACTGCAGCCAGGAAACACAGCCTCTCCCAGTCTGTGCCGCCAGAAGATGCTGATCAGACCCCGTGTTTTCCAGGGAGAACTCCCTCCCTAGCAAAAGGACCAACAGCTGGGATTTGGGGCTTCCTGGTGGTCCCCCTGCACTCCCACTTTTTCTTCTCTCTGGGGACCTGACAAGCCATTTCCATTCTCTCCAAATCCCTCACCCCTAAAGCACAGACTTTGAACTCCGTGGCTTGTCTTACTTGGAACACATTGCCTGGTCAAGGCCCACCCCCTTTCAGGGTCTCAGAGTCCTCTTCTATCAGATGAAGGCTTAGGCTCATGTCTGTGTCTCGGAACCCTGGATGCTCCTGAAAAATCACCTGGACCGGTTCCTTAGACACGCCGGCCTGGAGCCCTGCCACTTGGTTTATGCGATCTGCCAGTACATGACCGCCTGTGTCCCTGGTTCCCAGTGGTGACAGAGAGGCCGCTCCGGAGACTTCTGATACAAAGTTTCAGGGATGCCAGTGCCCCCTAGAGGCCAACCTCCTTCTCCTCTTCAGACGCCAGGGTCCAGGGGAATGCCAATGTGCTCATATTAGAAGCATGGGGGGGGGGGCAAGTTCACAAAAATGCTTGTTTCTAGGCCTGGAGAGTCTGATTTAAACTATCCATGGCAGGGCCTAGGAAACTGAAATGGTACTAAGTCCCTCCCTCCTGGGTGACCCTAAGATAGAATACTTCTGAGAACCTGTGGCTTACGGGATAACCAATGTTGGATTCTCTCTCCTTGCAAGACTCTCTGATGATACAACTGGACCGGAGTTTAGCATCTAAGCCTGTGATAGGGAAGAGGAGGAAGAGGCATTCTACTCCCCTCCACTCCCCCACACCCACCATTCATTGACCCCATCCTCGGTGCCCACTAGGGGTAGGAGAAATCCAGGGAGCAGGAGGCAGCATTGAAGAAGGGGGTTCTAGTTAAAGACGCAGGGAGTCATTCCTCAGCTCCGAGCCACCCTCTTCCAGAGATGACCCTCTCAGGGAGCAGAGAACAAAACTAACTAAATGTTCCGTTAAATTGGGCATTAAGTAACCTAAAATACCATGCTGAATCAGACAGGGAGGCAATTATCGGAAAATTTTTAAAAAGGATCTAGACACAGGGCATTTTGTACCAACCCCATGCTCCCACTCTCAATCACACTGACGAGACACACTGCACTTAGAAGTGGGTACTAACTATGCTCTTGAAATAAAGCCTTGCCAGGTATCTCACAGAACCGGCAACAGATGCCTGCCACGAGGGATTTTCACTGAAAACCAGGGAAACAATCTGCAATTTCTGATCATTCGGAATTAATCTGTCATCTGATCATTCCAGCCATAGTGGTGAAATGGTAGGCTTTTCTATTAGAATTATCTGGAAAATTAGATAGTTCTCTACTTTGAATTGCCTCAAAGACCTTGTTGAAGAACCACGATAGTCCCTGTCCTTCTCCCACTGCCCAGGTCCCATTCAGCCCTTATGACGATACCACCATCAGCACGTCACCAAGAATAAGAGAAAATGGGGAACAGGATAAAGAGGTGAGGTAAATGCAACCAAGGGAGAGACGTGGGTAATGCAAACAGGGAGAAGGAGAGGCGCAGAGAGGCATGTCAGAGACATTTTTACCTTCCCAGAAAAATTGGAATGAGTTTGAATTCACTTAAAGACAAAAACAAAAACATCCTGGAATTTTACCTTGCTCCACCCCATCTCAAGCTCGTCTGAAAGGGCATTTGTGCCAAGTCTACTTTACCAAAGCAGAATACACACCAGAAGGAAGAGATGATCTCAGATATTTTTTTAGATGCTTTCGTTTAAGATATGCAAATAATTACTAAAATAATTTTCACCCAAGGCCTTATTTGTGGATGGGGGCTTGAGAGATCTTCCCAGGTTTGCTCATTGTCTTTTTTGGCAAAATTTTCTTTCCCATCCTGGAGCAGGAGCCTAAGCCAACAATCTCCTTAGATCCAGAAATAACTGACGGGCTTACCTGGTATTGAGGAGGTGTCCCCGTAATTCCAGATCAAGAACAGAAGGCAAGCGAGCAGCAGGATCGGCACGGTGGCTGCAGGCATGGCTTCCGGCACCATGCTGGTGATGTTATAATGCATCGGGTTCAGCATTTCCAAAACCATCTTGCCCTTCTCGGTCTCAGAGGGAGAGGTGTAAAGTTCTGTGGAAATCAAAGGAGCAGAAAAATGAGAGACTCTCCCAGAAGGTTCACCTATGACTCCTGTTACTTCAGAGGATGCTGCGCTGCCGAGATCGGTACTTTGTTTTATAATGTGATTGGACACTTAGACAAGACAAAGTTGTGGTTACAAGTCAAAACAAACAAGATCTTTTGGCTTGAAGCGCAGCATTTCTGACCTTGGTAGAGTCTCAGGTTCATTTAGACACTTGGTCTGATAGAACCTTATCATCTGCCCTTGAGAGAGTAGAGTGACGTGCATTCGCGATTGAGAGCCAAATTTCTTACCAAAATATAAGAAAATGAAATTCATTTCAGAGGTGGAAGCGTTGCTTTATGACATCAGCAGAATTTGGGCAATCTTCTTCCCTTGAAGCCCAAATCAATTTAGACAAAAACAAAATAAAGCACCCTCTTTCTTGACTGAACTAACCTCTCTCAGTAAGTCTCTACAAGAAGAATGTACATTGTCGAGGTGTTCTCCAAGCCTCCAATTAGGTTCTCTCTTGAACTGCAAGTAACTTACTCAGGACAGTCTTTTAGTGGTTTTTGTGAGGAGCTAAAAGCTCTTGCACCATGGGCTGCATTAAGGAGTGCCCATGGAACCTAAAGTCAGAGGTACTGGGGAAGAAAGAACGGGAGAGGAAGAACGAAGGAAGAAGAGAAGGGAAGGAGTGGAGGGAGAGGAAGAAAGAGAGGACAAGCAGAGAAGGATGCCACCAGCCGTAACTCAGGGGTCACTCAGCAGCTTCACCTGACAGCACTAATATCTTAGGCAAGATGATTTATTGGATATACTGTGTTTTTTGACAACATGCTGTTGAGTCTGGTCAGGCTTTGTAATGTCTTAAACTCAGAAAGGGGTTTCAGGGATAGGAGTTTGTATCCAAAGAGGCCTGGTTTGAGCGCATTTATATTGTGAGGAGTCACTGTTAAATGCATTTTCCAGTGGCAGATGGCATACTACAACTTTTGCCTTTCTCTAGAAAGTGCCCAAAGTTTTGGGAACTTTCAATGGCTGTGAAACAGGCTTGGGTTGGATTTTACCTAGTAATAAAATTCTAAATTAATAACCCAAGACTTCATATCAGATTTTGGGGAACTCTGTGAATTCTTTCAAATGCTACATAAAATATTGTATCTGCTCATGTGCAGTTTTATTGGCCATAATTTTCATCTGATTTTTATTAGATTTTTTTTAAGTTTATTTATTTCTTCCTTTTTTTTTTTTTTTTTAAGGGAGATTTTTGCTATAGGGTGCGTGCTCTCACAGGGGAGACAGAGAGACAGAAAGTGAGAAATCACCCCCTAGGGAGGATGGCCATGCCATAATCCCTTCTCCTTTCCGAATTTTGGGCATGTTTGCACACACACCCGGTATGAGTTTTAGGCGGCTGGGTCTAGGACTTGAACCATGCTCTACACTACAGCAGAGTCCAGTGATGTAACCATTAAGCCATCTGCTATTCCCAAGTTTATTTCTTTCATCTGTGAGCAAGTGAGAGGGAGACAGAGACAGACGAGCAGAAATATAGGCACTCCCAGCAGGATCCTCATACCATGATTCGTCCCCAGCTTCAGCCAGCCCCTAATTATCAGCCTGCACATGCCTGGCGCATTCAGAGGTGTCTCTGGATACAACCCCCCGACATTCTCACATGGGCCAGCCTTGCACAGCATTACGTTTTATCATGGTACCACTGCTTGGCCCCCTGTGGTTAGATTCTGAAGGAGTACGTCATTATACTTCTCCCTTCATCTATCTGCGATGATAAACATCCAGTCAAAGGCAATGTCTGGAAACTAGAAATTTCACAATAGAGTTGAATTTATTCCAGTGCTTTATAATTTTGTTGACTCTTTTTATTATTCTACCATTTAAATGATAATTAATGCATAAGTAAAAGGCTCTGAAAATGTCTGTACATATGTTGGGCAGTTTTGTATTTTTTTTTTATATATGGGATGTGTGTGTGTGTGTGTGTGTGTGTGTGTGTGTGTGTTTGGTGCTTTTTTTCAGACAGTGCCTTATGTTGTCATCCTCCAGCCTCAGCCTCCTGACACCCTGGGACTATGAGAGAATACTACTGTGCCTGGCTTTTAGGGCGGGCCAGGAACCGAGGGCAGGCCTCCCGTGTGGCCTCAGCCTGCCAAGCAGAAGCATCTCACCAATATGCTCCATGGTGGTGGTTTACATATAGAGAGACCCAACAGCTCGTGTCTGTTATCATCTGGTTCCTTGAACAAGCTGAGTTTTATTTATTTATTTATTTATTTTCCAGAGTGGAATTTTACATCATTCAAAGTAAGCTCTGTGTGACTTTGAGTCAGGAGGACCCTCGCTGTTTCTGTTTATATTGATGAAATCGGAAACCAAAAACATAAATGAGGAATGTGATTGCAAAACAAACAACAAGATGAAAATGTCCCAGAGGAAGTGGTACCAGCACAAATCTCACATTAAAGGAACTCTTAGCAATATTTCACAACACTGAAAGTGCATAGTATACGATGTTAGGAGCTGATGTAAATTTATAAGAGACTAAGACAGTTCATCAGGCAGAGAAAACATGCTCCTTTAGCATCATAAAGTAGACAAAGAAAAGAAAGCAAAAACTGTTCGGGCTATTCAAACACTCACTTTTTTTTTTTTTTTCAAACACTCTCGATAAGTTCTTTTTACAAAGCAAATACTTTCAGATTTGTAGTTTCTAACGATCTGAATTGCTACATGCTAAAATATTTGTTTTACTATTTTTTTCTGTTTCCCTATACACATAAAGTCTACAGTAAGAAGAGATATTCATCATATATTGAAAAACTACACTGTATCCCATAAGTATGTGCAGCTATAGTATGTCAATTAAAATGATGAAAACTGGGAGAAAAAAAAAGTTGTTTATGTTTCTAGAAAAAAAATGTAAAGGTCCTAGAACAATTGTAATTTTTCTCTTGCGTTTTAAGATTGCTTTGCAGTTTCAGCTTACCTGATCATTTTTTAAAAAGAATTGTTTATGTTATTTATTATTATTATTTTTCAACTTCTTATAGTCAGCAGAGAGAGGGGGCAGAGGAAGTGGAAAAGTAAGCCACCAGATCTGGGACTCGAACCATAGCTGACCACGTGGAAGTCCAGTGCCCCATCATGCCACCTGCTGGCCCCCATTGCCTGATCATTTTGATAGTCCTCCTCTACCAGGCAAAGTGAGGACTGTGTGCACGTCTAAATGTTTAATGGCGCTAAAGAACCTGACTTCTCATCTCTCCCAAAGTAGTCATAAAGACCCCCAAGAGTGCCATTTATAGACACAGCAGGGTAAGGGATTTTTTAACACATATCTGTTATGTATCAGACATTGTTCTAAAGCATGAGACAATACTAAGTCATTCATCCTTGCAACAACCTTATGAGCCAAGAATGATTAGCCCCATTTTACAGAGGAGGAACCTGAGACAGGAGGAAGTGAAATAGCTTGCCCTTGGGCACGTGGTTTGTGTGTGGCAGAGCTAGGATAGGAGCTCTGTCAGTCTGTCCCACAGCCCGTACTCTTGATTATGTATTTTGTTTTCAGTTACAGGACTCGTTTGGTCCCTACATTCAGGGACTTGCTGATCATTTATGTTCATTCCTGGGCTATTCAGAGTGACTCCTCTTAGGAGTATTAAGCTTTGTGGATCTCTGAATGCCACAGCTGAAAAAGTCCTTCGAGACTCTGCCTTCATTGTACCTTGGTTTCTAGTTTAGTAGAACATTCTGATGAGCCACACAGGCAGGTTGAACAAAAGGCTTTGGATAATGGTATGAGAAGGTCCTGGAACTTCATAGAGGTTGCATATATACGTCCCCTCTGTAATATCTCTCCCTACTCCTAAACACACACACACACACTCAGCCCTCAAGTGTTATACATCTTTAAGGGCCAGCTTCACTGCCCTCTGAGGGTCATCTTCTCAAGTCCTGCTGTTGGCTTCTGCTTGCTCAGGCATCCCACACTGGGCGACACCAAGCAGAGGGTCCACCTCCTGATGCACCATGCTCCTGTGCTGTGTGGAGCTGCAGGTGTCCTAACACCTTCACTTTTCTCATAGGAAGGAAATGCCATCCCTACATCTAAAGTTCTTAGCCCGAGTCAGGGCAGAGACCTGTGTGAACACAGCAGAACCCAGAAGCCCTGGTGACCTTCAGGTCATGACACATTCTGGACCCCATTGTGCCATGAAGGAGTTCCAGATGCCCTGGTCTGGCCCTGACCTGTGGGGAAGAGAGGTAGACCTCACACCTTGCAGAAGTGCTGCTTGGCCTGGCCAGACCCTACTTAAGCTTACCTTTCAGGATGGGGGGGTCCCTGGTCTGGCAGAGACACAGCCACTTTGGGTCCAAGAACTGGGTGCCAAGCCTGCCCTTCCTTTCATTCTCTCCAGTATATCCAGTCCATCCCGTTTTCATGCCCCCACTCCTGGAGAAACATAACCTAGTCATCTTGGTTCTCCTTGCTGAACCCTCCGCTTTGGGTCCCCACAGGGGGCTAATTCCTTGGGTTGCTTCTAGGAGAAAGATAGATGTGACCCTGGCACCCAGGGGCTGATAGAGCCTTAGAGAAGGAGGTATAGACTCTGAGCAGTTCAACAGTTCCCCAAGTGGGTGAGAACTTCCAGTTGGGGACAGAAAGGCTTGTGACTAGAGAGCATTGTGTCCTGGGTAGGGGACATTGTCAAACCGTGGTGTGGCATAGGAAAGGAAGGGGTGGGGAATGGATAAACATGATGCTAATATGTAGAGAGGAAGACCAGCCAAGAATAGAGAGAGGGAGGGGGCCCTGGGCTTGGGGGCGGGGGGCAGCACAGGGTGTGGGGACAATGAGAGAGGACATTATGTAGCCTTGTACACTGGGGTATAGATGTGGGGATTTGTCCTAGGAGAAATGGGAAGCCATTGGAGGGCTTCCAAGGAGGAGGAATGGGCAGCCAGATTGTATATGGTTTTTGAAAATGTAAACCACTGTGGCCACAGTGGCGAGAATATGATGGGGGTTGTGGGTGTTAGAATGGATGAAAAGTGACCAGCTGGGGCTCTCCTATAGTTTTCTAGGCAGGAGAAGAAGGTACTGCAGTCTCA